GCTCTGCGGAGACGGTTTTGTTTAAATCATGTGAGGCTTCACTATTTTTATGATGAGACATGAAATAGATGCAGGCGGAAGATGTTGATGGAAGGAGGGAGAGCGGGTGCGGCGCGGAATGTCTCAAGTACGACTCGAGTGGATAATAGTCAAAGTTCAGGATGAGCCGCCGCATTTCCACACCCCTGACTCCCGGGGAGAGAGGGGCAGGGAGAGTTGGGAATTAGGAGAGGTTCGCTCTGGCCTGGCCCATTGGAAGGCAAGTCAGCGCTTAGGTGGGTTCCGGACCCACTCTGTGTACTTGCTGGAATCCACAGCCCCCCTCCCCCAAGAGTTGAAATTGCAATCTTTTGGTTCTTGTCCACACTTCTGCCTCTCCCCACTTTTCCATAATAAGAAAAGGTTGTTCCTGCGACATGGAAAAGTGACTATTTGCCGGGGGGGGGGGGGGGGGGGGAAGTGGCCACAAGAGAGGTTCCGTGGAACAAGGTGCCTATGTCCTAAGAGGCTGAGATTCAAACTGATGCAGCACATTTTTACGGGGGCTACCCAGATTGCTGTTATGAAATACAAGTCAGATTTATGATCTTTTTCATATTGAACATGATATGCTATGCTAACGCTGCATGTGACAGTTTAATCAAATCCATTTGTTACCACGAAGCTAAAAGGGGCCGCTGGGATTTTAGGATTACGGGCAGAGTTAGGGAAGCATGTGGCTTTGTCATTCGCCATCATTTTGCACACTGCCACACTGCGAGGGGCTCTGTGTGTGCGCTCTGTCTCGTCTGGCCGCCCTCATCCCTTCCCCCACCCCCTGCCGCCACTCCGACCCGCTCCCAAAGTGGCTTCACAATAGTCGGTCCTGGGCGGTGTAGGCTGCGCACCAGGTCCACACTTGAGCTAAATCCAGGAGAGCCCCTTCCACTTCTACCTTGGGCTTGGTGCTCAATGCGAAGCTGCTGCAACTCAGGCACGCCTAAGTCAACTCATGCAGAAAAAGGAGAAAAGTTTTGGTAAGGTTACAATCTATCATAGATGCACTTTGCCGGCGCTCGGCACTCTTGGCTGCTCAAAAGCTTTCCTGCTCTTCTGCTGCTTTTGTGTCTTTTTAAAAGATCCGAAATATTATTGTTGTAACTGCTTTGAAAGACTGCTGCTTAAACCCATTAATCTTGCTAGGTGCAACAAATACTGCTACATTCTTTGCAAATCACCCCTGTGTGGCTGCAAAGACAGGACCACAAAAGGCTAGAGCATAAACTCCGCGAGGCATTCTTTGTTAGAGTGTATGTATGTTTCTTATTTTTATTATTATTATTATTATTTTTTTTTTTTTGCATGTGAGCTGCATCAAAATTGAACTCAGTCTTGCAAATCTCTTGTTGGCCTTTGCCAAGCACTAGCACTTTGCTGCCATGGTAACTGTAATTAAACTGATAAGAGTGGAAAAATGTCAGTATCTCTGAGCCTTGCAGCTGCATTGGAGAAAAAGGGAATCAAATTGGTTCCCAGCTCCATTGCTCAAAAAGGGGAGGGGGTGGTGGAAGGATGGGGAGGGGGTTGGGAGTTGAAGGGGCAGAACAGAGTTAAGCAGCTCCAGCGCCTGAGATCTGGGGACATCTATTTGCATTGTTGTCCCTTAGGGGGCTGCAGCCTGTAGGGATGCTCTGGGCCAGTGAACAGAGGGAAACAAGCTTTTAGGCCCAAACCAGTTCTCCAGTCGGGTCTGGGGGCTGGGGAGAGGATGAAGATGGGCAGGAGGAGAGAAAATCTTTTGTTTGGTACCTCTTGGCAATCGAGCGGCCACGTTGGCCAAATTCTTTTAATCTGTGTCACTGCTCCCAGCTGCAGAACCTGCATTCCCATTTTAGCATCTTCCTGAGGCACCTCATCTCTGCCAACCCCCTTTATGTATTCCCTCTTCCTGTTCCTTCTCCCAAATTGTTCTCTGTGAATCTTCCGACAGGGACAAAATGTTTTCCATTCACTATGTGTAGTTAGTCCAAAAATATAAAAGACTGTGTCTAAGTGCTGCAAATCTTTGATTATGATTATTTTTTTTAAGCCCCTGTGTGTTGTGGAGTTGTGGTTACTTTGTTGTGTGAACTACTGAAGCTGAGCCTGCGCGGATGAATGGCACCGAACAAGGGAACATAATGGAGGCAATCAACCGTTAGGCCGCCTCACAATGCAATCCAGGCAATTAAAAGCTCACCAGAGTTTAAATGAAATGGTTCTACTTATTTCTGCACACCACACTGCACAGGCGATTATTTATGTCTTTTTTTTAATTATGATTTCCCTTAAACTGTCAAATAACTCAGAATGGCAGGGTCTCAGAGGCAATAAGAATTTCCCTCAGAACAATTTACATGCCAATCTAAAACTAGTTATGAGTCCTGATGTGCTATGAGCAACTTGTGAAATGTTTCTCAGCTCTGAACACATAACTCTACCCAGTCGTGCTCTTCTGGATGGTGAGGGGGGCTGCTGATGCTTTGTGTCTTTTAGGTACATGGCAATGTAGTGACTACTAAATAGTTCTTTTTCTACAACTGTTAACTTGCATCCTATTGAAACGATTTCCTCTCCAAGAGAAATGTGATGATGTTCTCTAAAAGAAGGCACCAGGTTTTTGGAGTGCAAAATATCAAACTCCTTCAAGCCCAAGGCCAAACAGAAAGTAAGAGTTTCAAATATTAATTGGCCTCTGAGTGCTAAATTAAAATGTCAACACAACAAAAACATTTTGTGAAGACAAGCAGGGTAGTGTTACTTGTGCCAAATGTTGGTATTCCCTGTCTTGGTTGCAAAGTGTTTTGAATAAAGATAGCTGACCTTCTACGCTTGATGGTAGTAACTGCACTGAGGGAAATATAGCTGAGCTACAACTGAAAAGGATTTTAAAATTTCTTTCAGCTTTGTGATATGAAAAAATAATAGCCTTATAAATTGGCTAATCAGAATAGCCACTCATATCTCTTGATGTCTTCAATAGCAAAATACAGAATGCCATTTCGTAAATCAAAATTTCCCCCTCCCCCCAGGTATATGGTTAAGAGGCACTTGGATATGTTCTGTACTGTAATTAATAGGATTTATTCCTTGTGGAACCTTGCTAGAAGACGGTAACTAGTTCTGATCAAAGAAACTTCATTTGTTAGAAGTTCTAGAGAGTGAGATTTAGCAGAGCTATCAAGGGTTATGATTAATCTACACTAGACCCTCAGCTCCTTCAAAGAAAAGGAACAGAAAGCAGGCTATAGGAATAGCACCTGCTCTTCGGCACAACTCCCGCCGCGAGTCTGCAGCTCCAGCTACCACGGCTGTGCACATCATGCTTTCTTCCCTGCCATACCCTCTTCCATTACTCTGCCAGAGAAGTTCTTTTCTAATGGAAGTTCAGCATCATAACGATGTTATGTGCAATCCATGTATTCTTTGTAACGAGAAAAGTTACTCAGCTCTGAGAGTACAGTGCCTTGGTGTCTCTTATCAGTGTGATGAAAAAAGAAAAAAAGACTGTGGAGGTAATGGACGTGAAGCCTTCATCAGAAGGCATAAGGGAAACTAAAGGAGGGTTGGCTCCTTGGGAGTAGGGAAATACTCTAAGATCATAGCCTGGCTTTTCTTTTCTTGAAACTGTTTCAAGTGCATCCACATTTGGTGTTTTGTATAGTTTAAAAGTTTCTGCGTAGGAGAGGAAGCATCCTATAGGAGTGGAAGCTCTGGACTGTAAGAAGACCACCAAATCTAGTACTTCACTGTCATTCAGTTTTGAGCGAGTCCTTAAACGCTCTTAGGCCTCTGCATCACAATTTGTAAAACGAGGGAGTTAGGAATCGATGATGTCTACAGTATTTTATAGCGCTTAGAATGAGTTACTTGATAAATATGAAGTTCTGTTAGTTGGTCCAGCTTTTTTTTTTTCTTTTTTTTTTTTAAGCTGGGTGTTTGACACTTGGGAGAGAAGAAGAAACTCAAAGGGGAATAGCCTTTCATTGAAAAAATTTCAGTCCAGTTGTAAAACCTACAGAACTCAGCTAGACTCCTTATACATGATGGAGATATATGTCTAAAATAGATAAACATCCTATGTCTAGTGCAGTATAGATATATGCATGTAATATATTTATGTACATATGTTTATTTAATTTATATGTATTTAGATTTTACCTTCTGTTGTTTTTTCTTTCCCTTATAAAATAAATAAGTGCGTGTTTATGGTAATAAATTAATCCTGTACTTTAGTTTTCTATCAAAGCATGTAGTTAGTATACAGTGAGGTGAGCTGCCATTAATAGAGGCACCGACTGAAGTTTTTGTGAGTATAGATTCATTTTAAAATTTTTAACATAAGGAATAATTTTGAAATATCAAGAGCACAGAAGGAAGTATTTGGATGCAAACAAGCAATATCGTATTGGTGAGCTTTTTGGATGACTGTACTGTGTGTTTAACTATAAACATGCCCACTGCTAAGTCAGGTAATCCCAGAAGAGTGTCCCCTCTTCCACCATCAAGCACATAGCAAGCAAATTTCTCACCAATAGAGAAAAACTCATTCTTGACTCTTATAGGCTGTGCACGGACTCGTTTGTTAAATAGCTTTCTTGAAGATTGTTAGCCATTCACTCACATTTTCTTCCCAAAGGAACCACCCTATGTAGAGAATTATTAGAGAAAACAAAATTATTTAATGTTGCTTAACTTGGTGTATACAATGCCAACTCCCTATACACAACAAGAATGTGTTATTTTCACCACTTTGTATGCGTGACTTTCTAGATGATTTAATAAGGACTGTCTAATGTTTGATTGAGCCTTTTGTTTCCAGAATTTAGCGTGATTTGGTATGCCCCTACAGAAGAAAGTCTAACGCTCCTCGAGAAACGCAGCGTTAAATAGGAAACTTGTGTAAGGTCTTTTGACCTCTTCTGATTCCTTCTTGTAGTCCCAGCTCTCTTTCTTGTTTTTGTCTTCCTTTAGGTATACAAATGCTCTCAGTCCAGCCAGACACCAAGCCGAAAGGTTGTGCTGGCTGCAACCGAAAGATCAAGGACCGGTATCTTCTAAAGGCACTGGACAAATACTGGCATGAAGACTGCTTGAAGTGTGCCTGCTGTGACTGTCGTTTGGGAGAGGTGGGCTCCACCCTGTACACTAAAGCTAATCTTATCCTTTGTCGCAGAGACTATCTGAGGTAGGAATTATCCTTGCACACCAGTGATGACTGGATACCTTTTAAAATATTTTTGTAAGTGTATTTCTTGGGGGTTTCATTTCTTTATGGCCAGCTTATATCCCTGAAGGATGTTGACCTGTCAGCCTTCAAAATGTCGCCAGGTGCCTCGGATGCAAATTCTTGCTTAAGGAATGGCCAAGAAAGCCTCATATCTAAAGTGTTCCCATTTGGCCAGCCTGGATGCTCAGATTTAGAAATAGGTGATTCCACTGCCCAAAGGAAACCGCCAGTTCATGGCAAGGATGTATTTGGTAGAAATCAGCATGTAAGTGTTGTGTTACACCCCACGGACAAGGTAGGCTGAGCTTGACCCCAAGAGTTACTCAGCTATCTTCTGTTTCTGATTTGTCAAAGAAAGGCAGTTTGAAATTAGCTGGTATTTATTAGCATGGTTATTATACAGTTTTGAAAACTTTCCCCAAGTGTGAATACATCCCCCCACCCTCAGTGGCATTCCAAGTGGCCATCACAAAGACATCACTGAGCATTAACAGCCTCAGACTTGCCAGTAGCATTAAGGAAATGAGCACAGTAAAGATCTCCATCATTATGGGGAGATGGTAGCCACCCTCTAAACTGTAAACATCTGAACAGCTTGATAACAATTCATATGCTCTTGCTTAAAAAACCGTGAAGCCCACTAAACTTGTTTCCCAGCATTTAGCACTCAACACATGAACTTCTATTTAAGAAAAATTATTTTGCTTTTCAGAGAACTTTGTGATTTGATTCAGCTGCAAATTACATATATTAATAAAGTAGGACCTATCAAATTAGAGAAATGATATATGGCATCATTTGGGTTTTCATATTTAATACAATTAATCATTTTCTAGCCTGACATTAAGCGATTTATTTTGAATTTTTTTCCTTTATGACACAAAATTTATCAATCAGCCCTAGCTCCTTAACCATCTTGGTCATTTGGAGAAATGTTTTCTAGGGAATCTGGTGCTTCCCTGTATATAATTCAGTCATTTCTTGGTCTGATTTAATCTTTATCTAAAAATATTTATCATTTGATTAGAGGTAGTTTAAAAGGGTGAATCCAGGACTGTTTATCAGATTCTACTCTTTCCCCCTCCTAGGACTGCCTCATCTGACAGCCTCCTGGCTAATTATGACCACTTGTTTCTAGTCCTCTGTGTTCCAAGGGCACAAAATACATGCAGGGTGCCAACAATGGGGAGTGACTCTATAGCCAGGATTTCCCTTATTGTGGTGGCACAACTAATCAGAATTAACTTATTCCATGAATTCTCTTAGAACTTCAGTCTTTGAACTTTTTCTTTGAAATAAAAAATCTTTTCCTCTGCTCATTGTGAATTAGAGCCTCATTTCCACATAAAGCGTTTGCATTTGCTTTCAGTGATTTAACAATGCTTCCTAGTTTTGCTTTATCTTCACTAACCAATAGTCATGGCTTTTTTGACTCTTTTTTTGACTTTTACATCTGTTTACAACTGCAGTGTGTCAAGTGGATTTATGTAACAATGATTCCAAAACAAGGAGCTTGTATAGTCTGGGCGAGATTAAGGTGTCCTAATAAGCAATAAAGGTAAAAATTAAGTAAGATTTAAAGAAAGTATGTTGATATAGCTGGATTTTAAAAATTTATACTTGGCCAATGAACTACCTGTATCGTGAGTTAAACTGTTTTGCAGTTGTGAATATAGTAGCAAGCACAGAAAGAGACCTTAGACTTGTTTTGTGTTATTCTTCTTTATGGTAATAAAAATATGATGTTAAACTGCCATTTGATAGTCTCAAGTAAGTGTTTTGTTGAAAACGATTTATCAAAACAGTTTCCGTATCAGAAATGCTTATCTTTCTCTAAGATAGATTTTTTTGGTAACATAACTTAATTTCCAATAGGCTCGAACTTCTAATGTTCGTTAACTTGTTAAAAAAAAAAATCATACCCTTTCAAATCAAAACCCTGGTCCTGATTGCCAATATATTCATTTCTCAGAGTATAATTTCCTCTTAAATTGGTCATTAAATGGCCAGTTGTTATGTTAACAGCCTAAGGATTGTTAACATTTCAAACTAAGTTGTTAACAGCAAGCTTGTTCCTGTATTTAAACTGAAGGTTTGTTGTATATAATGTGACTTCTTTGGCAGGGAGCAATTCATCAATACTTAAAAATTGTAGAGGTGAAATGGGGGATTGGAATGTGTGTAAAACACTGTGTTATGTGTTATAGATTATGCTGCAGATGTGGTATGTAGTTTTATGAAAGAAGTGTGTATCAGTGAAATTGTGTCGATGTTCAGCAGCATGTCTCTTACTGGAATTTAATAGTCTAATTCTGCATGTCAGATAGACAAATACAATTAGGCAGACTTTATTTATAAATTAATTTCTTTAAATGGTATAGTCGTTCAAAAATGTTTATTGGATGCCTGCTGTGTGAGAGGCATAACTTTAGGTAATAGACAAAATTAAGAAAAATAAAGGTGTACCTAAAATTGTTACTATCTAATTGATTATTAATTACACAAAATCTGTAATATGATCAGTGAACAAGTAATATTCCATGGCTGTCTTCTAGAGCTTTGAAAATAATTTTTCTCATTTGCCTTAGTTCACATTTCCTTTTTGTATTTTGTATTTTGCACAGTCAGCTTAACCATTTAAATCCGATTCACAAGTGGTTTTGTTTTGGTTTTTGGTGATTGGATAGTGTGTAATTTCTTTAAGACACCAAACAAGCCATAAATAACTTACAGGTTTGTATTTCTCTGTCTAAATTAGTAGGCATCAGTAAGTAAGAATATGGAAAATGATAAAGAAAAAACTAGTTTTATCTCTATCTGTACTGGTGAAGTATTAATTGTAGGTATTATCTTGGGCCAGATAATTTTTTCGTATCTAGAGAAGAGTGAAATATTTTTGCCAATTGTAATTAACTTCCTAATTAACTTCTCCTTCCAAAAAAGAAGACAAAAAACACTTCTAATGCTGAACAATGAGTCTTGAAGTTCTAACATTTTATTTTGCATTACTTTGAGTAGTGATAGTGATGACATGTTTTTTCAAGTTCTTTGAATAATGAATATAAGAATTTAAATCATAAGATATTTTCCTAGAGTTATAGAAACTATTATTACAGTAAATATGATTTCTCTCAGATTTTTTTCCTTCTTTGTGGCACAATTAGCTATACTTAAGAAAAAGAAAGATGATTTTACCATTTATATACTAAGTTCCAGATCTTAACAATTCATTTTCCATAACAGGGCTGGTATAATATCCTTCATTTTTCTATAGTATATACAATGCACATACCTGATGAGAGAGCATTTGCCAGTTTGTAGGATTATTCTCTGCCTTTGGAAATTCATTAGATAAAGGAACAGAAGGACTGACTTTTAAAAGTTCCCCTGTTAACATGCTTTCTGCCTTAAACTAAGAAGCCAATCTGCCCATCAATATTTATATGCCAAGACCTAGAAATGTGTATGTTAAAATACATTTTTTAACATGTGTCCAACACATTTGTAACTTTTTTATTTTTAAAGTTGGAACTGATGACAAATTAGACAAGGGAAGCATCTTTATACCTTGAACTAGAGCTTACAACTAATAGAATACCCAAAGTAAATTAATAATTATTGTGTAAATACAGCAGTTTTAGTAATGATGTTTACGGGACTCTAGGCACTGCTAATCTATCATCCTTGTTTCAGTTTGGAAAATATGAAAAAAGTAGTTAATGTGTAATCAGAGTTTTAGAATTAAAATTTTGTGGCAAGTGTTAAGTCAGAACCAGGAGAAATAACAAACTACTTTACTTTGCAACTTGGAGGCAGTAAAGAATATCAGAATTTACCACTCAAGAGTTTGGGCAATTTTTGCTTGTTTTTTTGTTAAGCCTAAAACTTCTTGTATATTTTAAGCATCAAGTCGCTGTAGGCTGGATCTTGTATCTCTGAATGGAGTCTCAGCAGAGAATGTATTCAAAGCCGTTTGCCCTGATATATAGCATGGAAGCTGCTTATATAGCTCTTCCTATATGAGAAGCCGAAAATGCCTTATATAAAATTTAATGTAATTGGCTATTTTTATATTTGAGAATGATTTGTTTAAAATGAAACTGCTGGGAGAGAATGATGCTTCGTGTGCCACCATAGTTGTCAATTAAGAAAAAAGATTTGAAACTGTTATGCTGACTACAAATTTTACATGCTTTAATATAGTAATATAATAACTTTCAAATTGAAAATTAAAATTAAATGCTACATAGAGTATTCATCTGGCTATAACTCTTTCACACTAATCAAATCTGGTGCCTCTAAATTTTTATATAAGGTTAAATTTATGTTAGTACATAATTACAACCTTAAAAGTAAGCATGAATGTGTTGTTTATATTATTTTATCTGACAACTCACTGCAGAGGTACTTTTTTTGTGTTGAATAAAGTGTTTATTCTTTTTTTCCCTTCATTGTTCTCTTTTTAATATTAGGCAGTTGAAAATAACTTCCCCAGCAATCACTGCATTATTATTATCTGAACAATCACTTTTTATTGTTGTAAATTCTGAAAATTTAAGCTTTTACATTGAATTAAACTCCTCCCAAATGAACTTTTTTTCTGCAAGCTTTATTTGAGTTTTCTTAACACTTCATTATAATCATAATTTTTATCATATTTAAGTGTGTAACCTAATCTTAGTATTATGAAATCTTTTAACATGAGTGTATTAAACTCCACGGTCTATTAAAAAATATTGTTATGTTCCTTGTAAATGATCTGACCTTATTTATAGCTTTATAAGAAGCTGTAATTTTAAGTCTATTTTTTTGTTTTATCATAGGAAAGCATTATTGAATTTTATTTCAAACATTTTAGACTATATACTATTCAAGGACCAGTACAAATCAGGAGCGATCATTTTGTTTTGTGCAATACTTTGAGAGAGTGCCCCTCATTTTAGGAAAAATTGGTGGAC